ATGCATGCATATCCTAGCTTCCAGATACTTGCATCCATTTCCCTATGGCTGGTTATTTTTTTCTAAAATGGGTTTTTTTCCTGCCTTCTGATAGCGTAGTGGCAGAAATACATAGTTTCTTCATGCTGTGTTTTTACTTTCCATTTTCGCAATAAAACTACATCACTGCAGAGGAAATCAAATCTAATCTGCAATATATTTAGCATGAAAGCAGTAAGAAGCATTAATTCACTCCAGAAAGAGCAAAATACAGTCGGGTACTCAAAGGAAGAATCACCATGGAAACTGTTTTCTTGAAATTCTGTGCTCTCCAGGCTCCAGGCATGACTAAGTGAAGAAAGGAAGGCAAAGGGAAGAGAAGAAATATTTTACCCTTTCTGTTGTCACTAAAAATGTTGCTGAAGAATTTCTATGAATTATTGATTACATGAATAGAAGTATATATGAATTAGAATTATGAAACTGTTGTCTTTTAAATGAGTGTGTAAAAGCACACTGAGAACTTGTTCCTCAGTGTTCTCCCTTCCTGACTGTCAAACCCCTATTGAGCAGTGTTCTCCCTTTCCTAACTGTCAATAATCCTATTAAGGTCAAAAGTTTGAAGAGAAGCACTAGGAATTGTGATGATTAAAGAATTATGTGAGCTAGAACTAAGGTACAAGGCGTTTGCATGTAACTCCCAGATAGACTTGCGTTTGTATACCATTTTGAGATGATTATGGTTTCAGAATTTTTTCAAAGATATTAAATATGTCAAGATCAGCGCAGCTCCTGCCTTTGGGACCGTGTTAATGGGATGTGATGGAATTTCCCTAAGGAACTTCTGGTAGATTAGATTCACTCTGTGTTTGTGTGCACATGTATATATCTAACAATGAGCCCACTCTTCTTGCTTTCTACATTTTTACCTCCTAATTTATAGATTTTTCTCACTGCAACTATACATTGTATTATAATAGCTCTGACAAGAATAGCTACCATGTGTTCAGTTTTCCCTGTGAGTCGATCACTATGCTGAATTCTTTGCATTATAACATCAAGAGCATAAGCTTTTATTTGGGTGCTATTGTGTATTATTTAGCAAAGCAACAATAAAAGCTCACTAATAAAATAAATGTTTATATTCTCATGTAACCCTCAAAAAAACTCTATGAGAGTCCCCATTTTACAAATGAAGAAATTGAGTTTTGGGGATGGCCATCGAATACACTGGATCGCAGAGCCAGTGAGTTGCAAAACCTGGAATTGAAATCATGTGGGAATCCTCAGTCCATGGGCTTAACAACACCACTATGTTTTCATTATCAAGGACATAGACAACCTGCCTTTTTAATCTCTGTACAGGCTTATAACTGCCCGGGATCTGGACACGTAAGTAGGACCTTGGTATCTTCACAACAGATATGAATTGAGAATCTACCATTGTACCAGGCACTGTCCTAAATATAAAAATTGAAAATAAGATAACATCCCTGCTTTCAAGGAACTTACAGTCCTCAGGAAATGTTGGCACAAATGAATGAAACAGACAAAATAGTCAAAGGTTCAAAGAAAAAAGGGATTAATGAGATTTGTGGATCTGTTGAGTTTGTGTGGATGAATTTGTCCTGGCCCTCCAAGACGGGGAGGAGCTTCTGGAAGGTGGGAGGAAGAGAAATGAACATTTAGGGAAAGAAAACATGATTTTAAACACAGAGATGCGAATGAGTGAGAGGGGTTTCAGGACCTGTTAGAAGATCAAGGCATGTGTTTTTTTTGTTTTGTTTTGTTTTGTTTTAAATTTATTTATTATTATTATACTTTAAGTTGTAGGGTACATGTGCATAACGTGCAGGTTTGTTACATATGTATACTTGTGCCATGTTGGTGTGCTGCACCCATCAACTCGTCAGCACCCATCAACTCGTCATTTACATCAGGTATAACTCCCAATGCAATCCCTCCCCCCTCCCCCCTCCCCATGATAGGCCCCGGTGTGTGATGTTCCCCTTCCTGAGTCCAAGTGATCTCATTGTTCAGTTCCCACCTATGAGTGAGAAAATGCGATGTTTGGTTTTCTGTTCTTGTGATAGTTTGCTAAGAATGATGGTTTCCAGCTGCATCCATGTCCCTACAAAGGACACAAACTCATCCTTTTTGATGGCTGCATAGTATTCCATGGTGTATATGTGCCACATTTCCTTAATCCAATCTGTCACTGATGGACATTTGGGTTGATTCCAAGTCTTTGCTATTGTGAATAGTGCTGCAATAAACATACGTGTGCATGTGTCTTTATAGCAGCATAATTTATAATCCTTTGGGTATATACCCAGTAATGGGATGGCTGGGTCATATGGTACATCTAGTTCTAGATCCTTGAGGAATCGCCATACTGTTTTCCATAATGGTTGAACTAGTTTACAATCCCACCAACAGTGTAAAAGTGTTCCTATTTCTCCACATCCTCTCCAGCACCTGTTGTTTCCTGACTTTTTAATGATCGCCATTCTAACTGGTGTGAGATGGTATCTCATTGTGGTTTTGATTTGCATTTCTCTGATGGCCAGTGATGATGAGCATTTTTTCATGTGTCTGTTGGCTGTATGAATGTCTTCTTTTGAGAAATGTCTGTTCATATCCTTTGCCCACTTTTTGATGGGGTTGTTTGTTTTTTTCTTGTAAATTTGTTTGAGTTCTTTGTAGGTTCTGGATATTAGCCCTTTGTCAGAAAAGTGAGTTTGAACAAGTACATTGACCATTGGTCCAATCAGTAAAGAACCATGAAAACTGGGGCAAGGAGGTTGGATTTTATCCTATCAACGCAAGTGACCTTTCAAAGGATTCGTGTGTTTATTCTGAGATGTTAACTACTTACAGTAAGGAGCATTATTCTTTTGTATTCAGCTTTTATACATGTATACAACCATGTCACCCATACCCACATAAAGGTATAGGATACTTTTAGGACTCCGTAAGATTTTCTTTTGCCCACTCTTACTTAATTCTCTCTTGCCCAGAGGTTATCAGTATTCCAACTTTTATGTGAGTATTCAAAGGGAAGTGATTTTTTTTAAATGACACTATGAAAGTTTAAAGGAAAGATGAATGACTGATGGGATGTAGCACAAAGTGTGGAGGTGAGAGGTTTCAAACAGGGAGACCAACAAGAGGATGTTATGAGGTTCACTCCCATTCATCCAGTCAATTAAATATTTATTGAACACTTATTATGTACCATACTCATACACTGGTAATACAGTGGTAACCAACATATGCTCTCTCAATGAGGAGACCAACAAATAAACAGTTATCTTATGGTGTAGTAAATGCTATAGTAGGAGGAAATATACATTGTTCTTAAAATGGGCATCTAACCCAGAATAGGAAAGTCGAGGAAGAGATGACAAATCTGAGGATCGAGGATGAATAGAGATTAGCCAGATGAAAGGGGAGACTGAGATGAGGATGGTCCCAGGCAGAGAAGCACAAAGAGGAGCAAGGACCTGTTCATGTTTAGTTAGTGGCAGCAGACAAGAAAGAAGTCAAAGAAAATATGTTTTTTAATCAAAAGAAATGGCCAAACTTAGTAATTATATTCTATCACAAGAACCATGTCAAACTGGGTTTCTTCAACACTGGTACTGTATATAATTGTGTTTCACACTATGTATCAGGCACTAACCTGATTGTGCAACATTGCAAAAAATTTTTGATGTTCAGCGTTGTGGGCTTTTTTATTATTGTTTATACTGTGGGCAACCCACCTGCTTGTCAGTCATTTCTCTTTGAACTTGAGCCAGAAAAACCAGTCAGGCAGTAAGATTTCTAACATCTTTCACCTACTTCTGTTAGATGAAGCTGTTTTCTCATTCTTTGTAGCATATTTTTTAGCTTCCCCTTTTCTGGACTGGGCTGAACTGTGCTGTGCAAAGCAGCCAGGCTACCCCCTCTTCTGACTTTTAGTTTGTTTCCTGGGGCAGCTTTGAGAAGCTATTGAGTTTCCAACACTCATTTTTTCTCTCATTCATCAGCAGATAACTCAGTAAGCAGAAAGTGGCCTTTGTAGCCCCGCAGACCTGAGTTAAGTAAGCCCTAGCCTAAGTCTTACTGACTCTCTTTGTGACTTCAACAAGTTACTTAATGTTTCTAGGCTTTGGTTTTCTTGTCTGGCAATAATAGCACCCACTGCATATGGTGTAAATGTCATTAAAATCTAATGTTGTAAAAGCCCTAAGATAGTACCTAACATATAGCAGGTCTTCAGTAAATAGTATTTAGAGGTAGTAAAGTCGAGTGGTTTATAGCAAAAAGCTCTCAAGTGAGACTGTCCATGTTAGAAGGCTGGTTCTGCCAAAGGCTAACTGGGTTAACATAAGCTTCCAGTGGCTCAGTTTCCTCATCTGTAAAATGGGGGTGGTAATAATGACATCCACCTTATGGTTTTATTGTGAGGGTTAAATGAGTGAATGCATGTAAAGTTCTTCACACAGAGCCTGCTGTGTGAGTATGCATATCTCTACATCCTATATTAGTAGTGTTCCTGTTAACCTTAATAATTATTGTTATTTTTACATATTACTTGGCCCCATCTATGAGAATGGAAGAGCAGTACCTACCTATCCTACAAGGTTGTTGCAAGAGCTACTAAACAGGTATGCATGGCTCAGTGCCAGGCACACAGTGGGCTCCTGATAAATGTTTGTTGAGTGAACGAGAGCAAAGTGCTTCTCTCTAAATGATTTCTGTAAATGTTTCGCCTTAATGATCACTGGGAGCTTCCGCACAGGAGGAAGTGCCAAAGAAGTTCACAGGGCGGCAGCCAGGCTTGGGCCTGGTGGAATCCGATGATGTTGAACAAAATAGATTCAGATCAGTCTATTTCGTGCCATTGAAACTGTGCCAACGAGCAGCAAAATGTGATTTCATGTTGGGAGAGTGCCAGCATCCTGGTTTGCAAATCAAAGAGAATCCTACCTATTTCTAGCACCTTCTCTCTTTCTCCCCTCAAGATTCTTCTGTGTGGGTTTTCTTACCTTTGAAAAGCCTCTGGATGTTTCACAAAATCAGGCCCCAGATGTTTGAAAGACTTTTGCAGACAAGGTAATCAATCCATTTGGTGGCCAGATGCTGTCTGAAAATTTTCCTGCTACAGCACTGCAAGTTTCTAAATTCATTAGAAACATAAATTAATTAAATCTAATCAACAGTGGGTGATGCAGAAGATTAAATAGTGAAAAACAAATACATTTCCAACTGGGTCAGATTAGAGGCAGAGAAAAACAGCTCCAGTTTGGAGGAAAATGTCAAGTTAACCCTTCATGTGATATTCTTGGAAAACTTTGCCAGGCCTGAGTCCCCAGGTGAGGCTGTGGTTCTTTCCAAATTAAGACTGCCCTGGTGGGTTGACTTTTCAAGAAATAATAAATAAATTATCTATTTCTAAAACATTCTGGAGTGGTCTTATTCTCTTATGTATTCACCGTAGTGAAAATCTCTATCATTCCTTTATCATGAAAGGTCTCTAGAGATAAGATTTGCAAGGGGCTATGCACTATGTATAAAGCAATATTTTTCAGTAGCATTCTATAGTCAGATAAATTTGGAAAGAGAGTGAAGTCTTCTTTACTCCACACTAGAATAAGTTACCTGAGTTCAGGATTGTCTGAACTGAATCTGTCAATATTCAGATTTAATATTGACTGTCAATACTGAATCTCCAGCACCAAAACGAACAGTGCCAGGCAAGTCCTTAATAAAATCTTAATGAATATCTATAAGTCCTTAGCAAATATCTGTTAATGTATGAATTGTGGGTGAACTTCTTTCTGACAGGACGACTCAATATTTACCCAGATAAATCCCCAAGATGAGGGACAATGTATGAGCTATTTCCCAACAGTGTTCAACATTTTCCCCCCAGTAAACAGCATCTTAAGGAACTAATGGTCCATAAGATATATTTTAGGTAACTAAGCTTTAAAGCATTGTTGTATAGTACCCCTATCCTTTGTCCCATATCCTCTACCTTCAGTCTAAATGAAACTGGAGAAGATTCAGGGTGAGTGAATAGTGAATTCATGCAGTCAACTTCTGGATAAGAGGCTGTCCTCCAAGAATGTGCTCAGCTTACTGGTTAGGCCAGCCCTTAGCTGTGATTTGACTGTTTTTTCATTCCACATGTGCACTTGCAGTGCTGATAAATGACCTAAGACTGTGGGGATAAAGGTGTTGCTGCCTTGCATGGCAGCCCTGTAGAGAAGTACCAGTTTGCAGAGGATACCACTCAATAGTAAAGACCAGCAGCTGCCTACAGATGCAAAGTAGCATAAAAGATGAAAGCAGAGAGGTAGAGGGAAACCTCAGGAGGGTAAATGGGAGATGGCATTTGACACTAAGGCTGGGGGTACACTAGGAAATGTTAGGAGGTGAGTAACTTCAAGACCTATGCCCCTCTAAAGGGAGCAGCTGCTTCCCCACTCAAGCTAGTAATGGCCATATGGGAATGCCAGCTCCATGTTGCCAATCTTTATTTTCCTAAAGAAGCTGAAAAATCTCAATTGTTTAAAATGAAACTTTATACTTTTTAGATGGTAGAAACTTGTTCAAAATATTGGAAACCTTTGTGTAGGCTAATATTGCAATGTTAATAAACTAGTCCAAATAAAATAAATCTGCTTGTCAGATATGACTTATCCACTGCAACTGGTATCCTCTGGGCTATTTGGTCCTATGACGTGGAGCTGTGGAGACTTGCTCTGCCTTATCTGGGATCCAGATGAGTGATCCACTGGGAACAATAACAACAAATTATATATATTGAGTAGCTACAATGTGCCAGGCATCATGCTAAGCTCCTCCCCATCCTTATCTCATTTAATCCTCATAATTTCCCTCCAAAATGGCACCAATATTATTCTTATTTTACAGATAAAGAAACTGAGATTCAGAGAACTAAGTAACTTGCCCAAAGGCACATCACTTCTAAATGACAGAGATGAATGGTATATTTCTGACACCTGAAGTTAACCATTCATTATGTTACTTCTAGGTAAAATACTATCCTAACATTTAGTGCTTCTGCGTGTCAGGTACCATTCTAAGTGCTTTGCATAAATTTATGCACATAATCCTCAACATAATATCGTCTCCATTTTGCAGATTAAATAAGTAGGGGGCAGAGAGAGAGGTTAAATAATAAACCCAAGATTTGCCAGCTAGTAAATGTGGAAGCTATAATTTAACCCGGGATTACAAGACTGCTATTGATCAACTCTTAGAATTACTTCCCAAGACAAAGTCCTAGGTCAGGCACATAGAAGGTGCTCAGTAAATAGTTTTCAACAGACACCAAATCTCATTTTCGTCTTGGGATTCTGTGCTGCAGGTGTGGTTGTTGCCTCTGAGTAGCTGCTGTTTCAGCCATTATTTTATGTGACTCACTGGCAGCTGTCACTCAAGCAGCCTTCACTGTGTCACTTTGCTAATTCCAGGCATGCAGAGCAAAGACCGACAAGCCCTAGAAGCTGGCTCAGCCTCTAATGAACTGTCTAATCCAGAAATCCCTTCTCAGGGATCGGGCAATCCAATTCAAACTGCGTATGTGACTGAAATAGTTCACTGGGTCAGACTTCTTGGCATATCAAGATCTTCCCACCCAGTCTCTGGTGTTCAGTTGCCTTTCTTCCTGCAAACTGAAAGGGTGGAGACTGGTTTAGACAAGGGCTAGAATTTAAGTAGCAGAAGGGTGTGTGCACATTTTATAATGCTTGTGTTATCGTGTATATGATTAGCTCAGCATAGACCTTATTAACTAGAATGAAGCAAACGTGGACTTTATTGGTTTTCAAATTTTCATGATCTCATAGTTCAGCTATACTCAATTCAACTGAAAACTGAATGTATGTGTGTGCGTAAGAACAACATTAAAGGATATAATCCAAATGATCAGGCTACAAATACTAATTAATAAATATTCTAGAAAACCATACTTTTTTTTTCTTTTAGACGGGGTCTCACTCTGTCACCCAGGCTGGAGTGCAGTGGTGTGATTACAGCTCACTACAGCCTCAACCTGCTGGGCTCAATCTATCTTCCTACCTCAGCCTCCTGAGTCGCTGAGACTACAGGCGTGTGCCACCATGCCAGGGTAATCTTTGTGTTTTTTGCAGAGAGAGGATTAGAAAACCATACTTTTACTGAACATTGCTTGCATGTCTACTGTGTGTCAAACATTGGGCTAGGGGCCAAGAATACCATTGGTTAAAAAAAAAAAAAATCAGCTGTGATTCCTGTGAATTATGAATTCTTGTGAATTATGTAGTCTTACAAGGGAGACAGACATTAACAATAAACACTCAAAACACATACATAATATACATAATGATGAATTCTGGTAGACGCATTAAAGGAAAAGGATCGAGTACTATAAAGAACAATGTGAAGACTTTAAAATAGGCTGTCAGAAAAGTCCACTCTCAAGAAGTGCTGCTGTTCAAGCTGACATTTTTTTAAACGAAGAGATGTTGGCTAAGGAAAAGGGAGGATGGGGAGTAGTTTAGGCACAGCATGTCTCCCCAAAGTAAGGGGGAAAGCAGGAAATTTATGAGATCCTGAAAGCAAAAGTGGGGCTAGAAAATGGTAAGGAAGGAGGTCGGAGGATAGTTTGAGAGGGAGGAAAGGACTCGTTTGCAAAGTTTTCTTAGTGATAACTTACCAAAGGTTGTATTACCCCAAAGCTTCCCCAAAATGGTGTCTAGTACATTTTACTGTTGATTCAAGTTCAATTGAAGAAGCAGGAGGTATATTTGAGGTTGTGGCCAGTGTTGAGTCTATATCTTCAGTGCTTAATGGTTTGATTCCTTCTGTTACCTGATAAAATATTGACATGTTATTTTTTTATTCCCCAAGAACTTTGCAGAAAACAATGCATCACAATCAGTGCTAGAAACCTGCTACGGTGTGTGTTGGAGAGAAAGGAATTTTGCCAATGCATTTAATAGTTACAGACTTTTTCAAGCTTGAAGCTTTTTCATATTCTCCAAAGGCAATAACTTAGGTTGTTGGACTCAGTACTTGAAATGTTACCCAAAAATAGAGTCCTTGGAGGTATGGAAATGTGATCTGATTTTTACTCCTTTCCTATCTGCTATTCCTAGAGAAAGCATTTCTGAAAATGGCCTTGGTACTAGATTTCTCAAATACTGGTTTTGTTTCAGAGGTGTCCCAGGCTATAAGCCTATAGCAATGAACCATTAAAAATAATAATAAGTTGTAGGCAAAAATGGAATATGTGTGACTTTAAGCTAAGCAGAGAGCTGTCATGTGCATTACACAATCCCACAGTCAGTTGTCCCCATGAGAATCCTAAATCTTCAGTTGTGAACCATTTATGTCATGTTTGCTACGCACAGAATACGATCCTAGGTACTGAAAAAGATGCTATCTACTAAAGAAATAAATATTATTCTGTTTTCAGGGAACTTATAATCTAGTTAAACAGATAACACATGCACAAAGTATATTTGAGCCATCTATTAACATTTATAGCATAATCCAATAGAAATGAGTCATGCCTGATAAGAAGATGCCAGCTAAGTTAGTGAAGTTTTAAATGTAAACTATCTTTACTTGGTTTCTAGAAAAGACTAATTTTCAACTGCATGTTAGAAGGGAAGGGAAACAGGATAAGTTCTAAGAGGATGAATTCCAGATTGAAGAATTGTTTAAGCAAAGGTCTGAATGCAGGGTAGTACTGAGTGATGGTCTCAGATCCCACTAGGGATCCAGAGGTTCAGAAGTACTGTGAAAATAAGATGCAGAATTTCACAAATATAAGTACATGCATGTTTATGGGGAAAGGATTTACAGCTTTTATTAGATCCTCAAAGAGGTCCGAGATCTCCTAAAAAAGGTTAAGAGCTAAATTGTATTACTAGAGAAAGGTTCAGATTTTACATTCTTTTATTCATCAAACATCAATTGTGCTTAGTAGAGTCAAAATTGAGTAAAATAGGAATTCTGTCCTTAATGAAATACATTTCAGTTAGGAAAATAGAACAAGTATACATGTAAATGACAATGTCATGGATCACACGTAAAAGTACAAAGAGTTACAGTTGTTGTGAGGAAGAAGGAATTTTTTTTCCAATCAATGAAGCTTAGAAAAGCTTCATGGAATAGTTGACATTTGAGCTGGCCTTGAAGGATTTGTGTATTTACTTTTTTATTCAGTCAGTAAACAAGTGTTTTTTGCAAACCTACTAGATGCCAATCCCTATGCTAGGTCCTCCCACTATAATAATGCAGAAGATCTTGCCCACGAGGGACACGCTGTCTCAAAGAATGAGATGTCAGCAGGCACAATTAATGACAATAATATATTAGATAAGTGAAATGGCGTGAACAGTTGGTCAGCAAAGATTGTATTTGCTTTGAGAGTCTGAGGAGTTAAACTTTGATGAAGTGCGTGACAAGGATGGAAAAGTGAAGGTTGAGCCCAGAAGATACACTGGCGTTTTAAGAAGTAAAACCTGTAACTGTGAGTGAAAGATGAAAAAAGAATTTATATAGAAAAAAGAAGAGATAGTAGATGAAGAGAATAGGAACAAGAAATAATAGAAGGTGGAGGGAAAAGAAGCAGCACATAAAACGCAGTTTCTGAATGCAAAGCAAGTTTGGAACTATAGTTGGGTTTAAATCCCAGCTCCATGACTGGTCTTCCAAACATGGGCAAGTTATTTATCCTGTCTGAGTCACTATTTTCCCATCTGAAAAATGGAGAAGATACTAAAACTCATGGAGTTTGAGTGACAATTAAATGATATAACGTAAAACACAAAGCACAGATCATAACCAAAGTCATTATCCAATGTATAACGATTGATCTATAGATTTAGAAAGAGAGTGTATGTATATAGAGGCTCGAATGCTATGCCTGGCTTGCAGTAGACCAACTCAATAAATGGTAGTTTCAAAGAAAAACTATGCTTTTCTAAACTGTGCAGTGCTGGTGTTTCTCTTACACTGAAATGTCTTGAGGCCAAGTCAATAGCTAGTTAATTTCAGTGAGTCTTCTTTTTGACAGTTGCAATTCTCTTCCTGTAGTCATACTGCAGTAAAGGAATGTGCAGCTAAAAGAGTTTTCTATTAAAGACTGACGTCCTGGAAGGGAGATCTACAAATCACTTGGAAAGTTCCTGGCACCATCACCTGGGTCTGACCATTTACAACGTGTCTGTAAATCTTGCACAGGGAAAGGATGAGAGTGTAGCATTTTTTTCCCCCACTCTGACAGACTTGTTTCTATAAGATGTTAAGGATACTGGTGAAAGTTAAGGAAGGCCAAAAGGAGGTCAGCCTACCCATGTGGAAGTGATCTTGTAGTAGATTTCTCATCATTTTAAAGTGTATATGAGTTAGCAGCCCTCTGCCTGGTACGCAGATAGTAGGTAGCTAAAAGAACAGAGTCCTTTCTGCTCTCAGCTTCAAAAGGAGAAGGTAAGAGAGGGAGAGATAAGTGGAAAGCAGAAAAGAGAGAAGAGGTGTGAGGTCAAGGGAGAGAGAGAGAAGGTAAGGAGGAAAAAACAAAAAAAAATCAAGTAGTCTTTTATTCATAACAATCACATGGATCTCTGAAATGCTGATATATGAGATAAATTCTTGCAATACTAAATGTTTTAAGAATCCTGTTAAACCTTATATGGAGAGAAGATTTCAATAGCATTTTTCTTACTATTCAGATTTTGGCTGTGGGTAGGATTTGAACCTGTACAGATTTTATTTCAAATGTTGGTGGTGACCAGTCCTCATTCCTGGCCTGTTCATCCATACATTTATTTTTTTATTCATTCAGCAATTCCACCTTCTTTCTTCTTCATTGTTATTTTTTTCCTGGCTTTTGGAACTTTCCCATCAGCATATAAACATGCGGTTATTTCTATGATATTGTAAAAGTACTCTCTTGATCCCACTTTCCTTACCATCTTTCACCTCATTTCTTTGCAACTCTTTGCAGCAAAACTCCTTGAAGGAGTTGTACATAGTCACCATCTTCAATTCCTCTCCTCTCATTCTCTCTGAAACCTACTCCAATTAAGTTTTATGGCCACCATCCCATAGAAACTATACTTTACTCAAAGTTAAAAGTGAGCTCCACAGTACTAAACTCAAAGTTTTACTCTAAACTTTTAGCTTGCCTATGAGCAGTATTTGACATGGTTGGTCACTTGTCTGAACTTAACTTGGTTTCCAGGACATTACATGTCTTTGATTTTCCTATTATCTCACTGGTCATTCCCTTTGTTTTCTTCCTGGGATTTTCTTCTTCTCCCCCCAGCTTTTTCAGTGCTGGGGTGCCCTACTGTTCGGCTCTTGGTCCTTCATTTATTTTAATGTACTCATTCCCCAAGACCTCATCTGGTCTTGTTGCTTTAAACACTATCTGAATGCTAATAACTCCCAAATTTATATCACCAGCTCAATCCCCTCTCCTGAACTCCAATTTCTTATTTCCAGTTATCTCCTCAACATCTGTACTTACAAACCTCTAGCATTTTACATGCATAAAACTGAACATCTGGTCCCCAAAAAGCCTGCTTTACTCACAAAATTCTCAGTGATGGCAACTCTAACATGCCAGTTGCTGAGGGCAAAAACGTTGGGATCATCCTTGATTCTATTTTTTCAAACCCTATAATCAATCCATCAGCAAATCCTCACAGGTCAACTTGCAATATCATCCAGAAAATGACCAGTTCTCTTCAACTCCACAGCCTACACCATGATTTATCTCCCCTTGATTATCTCAATACACTCCCCAATTCTACCTCAGCCTCTACGGTCTATTCTCAACACTGTAGCCAAATTGAGTCTTGTAAAAGCACATCACTTATCTATTTAGTATCCTTCCAACAGTTATCCCTTTCACTCTTTCATTGTGGTAAAATGTACATAACATAAACTTTACCATTTTAACTGTTTTTCAGTATACAGTTTGGTGGCATCAAATACATTCACATTGTTGTGCTCATTTGACTTTTAGTAACAGAGTCCTTGCTGTGTTGTACAAGACTCTATATCATCTGAACCTCTCATGTCTCCTACCTATTTACCCCTTGTTTGTTCTGCTCTAGCCACACTGATCCCTTAACACATGTTCATTACCCTCTTAAGGTCTTTCCACTGTCAGTTTCATCTCTTTGGAACACTCTTCCTATGGATACCTGCATCGTGAACTCTTCCACTCCTTCAATTCTCCCCCATGAAGTCTGTCACAACCACCCTATTGAAATTGCAGCCTCCCTTCAAATACCAGTCCTGTTCATCTTACTCAACTCTATTTGTTTTCCATAGTACACAACATAAAATGTAATTTAGTATGTTCATTGATGATTGTATTTTCTCCACAACTAGAATGTAAGATCCATGAGGACAAATCTCTTATCATCTTTTAATTGATATTTCTTTAATATCTGGAACAGTACTTGACACATAATTGGTATGTTCAATGTACATTTGTTGAGTGAATAAATGGGTCAATGAATGAATTGATTAACCCTAAATCTTGAGACTTTGTTTGGAGATTCTAGCAGGGGAACGCAGCTACTCGTATACCCTTGACCAAAGACCAGTCCTCCCCTACTGGGGATGGTTGTGCTGTTCAACCCATCATGCAGCTCTGGAAGGGAGGCACACGGAGTGGTGAGGGAGGAAGGAGACACCTGCCTAGCCATCCAGATCATCCAAATCAACCCTGGCAATCAATGGGGTGACAGATGTTGCAACCAGATCACCCTCATGTCCTATTAACATTAAGTATTTCCTGACTTTTCTAGTTTTAATATTATTCATTGTTATCTAAACTGCTACATGACCATGAAGTCAAATATAATAGATTTTCCAAATATCCAATTTTCAGTGGATAGATAAAAGCAGTAAGTATTTACTATACTGCCTTTATCCTGAAGAATATTTATTAAAGATTGGGTCCTGCTGCTGATGAAAATCAATGCTAGGTTATTCATTCTGCATTTTACTCTTTACCTACTGTGTGTACAGTATTGCATTCAGTGCTTTAAAATATGCATATTATCCAAAAGAGAGTATACTTTATAATATTCTTCAGAATACCACAACTCCTAGCCAGAAACTAGAAGGAGGGAGGGAGAGAGAAAAAAAAATACTAAATGATTCATGGTATTATAATTGGCACACTTGTTTCTAATACTTTCCATTTTATTTGCTAAGACCATTGAGAAACCATCATAACATAATAATACCTTGTGAACTATTAGCAACATATTTATTTTGTTTCACATCAGGACCTCATGTTTTAGAAGGAAGAAAATCAAATCCTTGCCTATCATATTCTTCATTCATTTCTATAGGCCCATCTACAGTTTAACAAAAAAAATGCATTGTATTTAGTGTTCAATTTGTCCTTTAGAGAAATAAAAGAGATTTATTGCATGCAAGGATATGGCTGAGATGTGTTTCCTTGAGTTCTGGTAAGGACTTCCTGCTTCCCTCTAGGAAAAAAAAAAAAAATCTTTCACTTAAAAATCTCTATGATCAGAATCTTTGAACAACCTTCCTCCAACATTGTAATTGTATCCCAATATCCCATTACCTCCCAGTCCTCTAAACTGAGAGTTTCACAAAGGCAAGTACCAGTTGTGTTTATTTATTACTATATCCCTGGTACCCAGCCCAGTGACATGCACATAATAGGTGTTCATTAAATTGAATCCTTTCATCTCAGATGTATTTGCTCATCCACTCTGGCTTTCTTATTACCACCTCCATGCCCTCTCCCAAGTAGCACCCTATCTGGATATCCTCTTTCCCCCAACCCATCTGCTTTCTCTTCCTGTTATTCATAAGACTCTGAATCCCTGCCAATGCTGCAGAGGCTTTTTAGGACAAGATCTATTCTTTATTGAGCAATGTATCTCATTCTAAAATCATCAAACACTCACTATTTCAAATGAAAACTTTTTCTTCCTTCACATCTTAAGTAAATGTTTACATCTATCCAGCATACATATTTTGATTATTGGTACTTTGTTTAGGGTTATCCATTCTCTATATGTTTGTCCACTTTGGTACTGGCTCTCTTCAGCTCTCATTCAGTGATCCACTAAAGAAAAAAGATTGATTGCTTGATGACTTGTGAATATAGAAAAAAAAAAAAAAGATTGAGAAGCATCTGTTATATACTAAGAGACTCAGCTAGGCACTGAGGGTTTAGTGGTGAACAAGTTCCTTGTAAAGTTTATGATGAAGAGGCTGAAACAGGCATTTAAATGATTCTAATATCATTGTGATAAATGCTAACGATTAGTGGTGATAACTTACAAAGGCAAAGTATGGGGAGCAATGAGGCTGCATAATAAAGGGAGCTGTCTTGGGCTTAAAAGAAGTCACACAGGGCTTCCTAAGGAAGTGATACCTGAGCCAGTCCCCAAATATGGGGAATTTTAGCTTCCACAAAGTCAATACCATGTCTTACTGACTTCAAAGCATCTGGCAAGCAAAATTTCTGACCAAACATGTGCCAGATGCCATAATATATGTGTTTGGGTAGCGGGTAACACAGGGCCTGCCCAAGAACTCCCATTTCCCCACAGATGTGAGAGCTTTCTCATTGTGGACCTGGAGTCCTGCCGACTTTGGGGTCAGTCATAGATGTCCCATGTTGTGCGGATAATAGAACCGAATGATTGACAGAGTTTGTATTGCCTGAGCAGTTAATTACTCCTCTGCTTTTTGAAAGATTGGGTGACAGATGGTAAACACCTTGACAGCAGATTCCACTGTAAACCACACAGGCGTGTAGGCAAGTCTGGACTGCTATCAATTTCCCACTGGATTTTTCTGTACTCAGAGACGTATAATTTTTAAGACTCATTTGCCCTTTAGGCAAGTTTTGTTTCAACTATGGGAAAATTTTATCTTCTAGGCTTCTATGTTGCAAGAACTTGTTTTGAATAAAAGGCAATCTTTATCAACCCACATGTCCTTGGGTTGATTCAAACCTGTTTGGTGTTGGAGATTTGGTCAGCCTGGGGAAGCTGTGTGCATTTTAATGGGAACAGCATGGCATTCATTACTCACCTGCTTCCTACCATCTGGATTTTCACAGCTCAGCAAGCATGGTGGGCTTCCTGCATATTAGCAGGGAAAGCTTGGCTCCTAAAAAGGGTGTGGCTAGGTCCCTGTGAAGTCATAATTTTACAATGAACACCATGAATAAATTGGGGTTGGCATTCTATCCCAGTAAGCTGCTTTCATATTTGAATGGTTGAAAAATAATACATCAGCAGGGGAAGGAGGAAAAACACAAATCGTCTTAATACTGGGAATCAAGTAAGTGGGAAGGAAAATTGGTTGTGTGGTGGAGTGAAATGGGAATGTGCATGTGAGAGTTTGTGCAGAGATATTGTAAGGCAAGGGAGTTTCCAACTCAACATGTATTAATAACCTGGCCCTGTGCAAAGTGCTATAAGGAAAACAAAAGATGGAAAGACAGGTATAGTAGCATGAATTTAGTTGAATATAACAGAAAACTTACTAACAGTAGCTTAAACCAACAATTTCAGACATAGGCGGTCTTAAGGTAGGTTTTAGTTGTTCAACAGTGTCATCAAAGATATTGTCGCATTCTCCCACCTGTCATACTCAGCTTCTTAGCCTTTTAAAGTCCATGGGCTTATTACCTCATGGTCAGATGATGGCTGCCACAGCCCCACATATTATGAACACATTTAATTACAAACAAAGGCAAGAAGCAAGGAAGAGTATGGTCAGAAGGCCTCCCCTCACTTACTTACTTTTATTCCGGGAAGAAAACTCTTTCCCAGAATCTCTGTCCCCTCCTGTTTCCCCAGTAGACTTTCCTATATGCCTCAATGGCCAGATCTGGGTCACACAATTACCCTAGCCACAAGGGAGGCTAAAAAGCAAGTATGTGGGTTTCCCAACCTCTACAGTGGAACAGTAGGAGGCAGGCAAGGAAGAAAGACACTGAACAGGAGTAGCCAAGCAAGAGTATCTGCCATGACACATCACCTGCCATTAATGGGCTTGATCTACAGGGTCAGACTGACATTTAAGCAGTGCCTATTTTTTAATACTGCACTTATGGTTAAGTAGGAAACAGCCATTGTGATAAGAGCTTGGGACTTGGAGCTATTGGACCCTTCTATCTGTATTATTTCATGTAAGAGGTATACCAGCACCAGGTTGAAGATAAAACCAGTATGCACAGAATTAGTTAAGTGAAAGGACAAGGATTCAGTATCCAAATACCAGACACTGGTTGGATGACAGAGGAAACAATTCTGGATCAAACAGAAAGTATGTATTATGCACAGTAGGTCAAGGATAGCAAGCATATGGTACGTGTAATCAGAACTGTGTATTCACTACTTCTGTCTTTAGGACCAAACTAAATGAGTGTGAGAAGCAGTGTCAAGTTAAGAAAGTAATGCTACTGAATCAGGAACTCAAACATAGTTCCATTTAAAGACAAGGGCATAGGTGAAAAGGTAGAATACTTAATGGATAACCTAGTTTGGGTGCAGGTTGGCAAAAGTGTATTGATGGATTTTTTTTAACTCCATACCACTCAAACAGAATCCCAAATAGTAATAACATCTAGACAGAAAGATTTAAAAAAATCTTTGCCTCTGTGTACTAAGAAAATAATTATTGGTGCCAAATCAAGTTGAGTCATATCAATAGAGATCAGTAGTGTTAAACCTGTGTATCTACACAGCATTTTTAACTCTTAGAAGCTCTTATATCTATCAGTTCATTTTATTCCCATAATTTTACTTCCTTTGGAAGAATTGTCCACTAAAAAGAACAGTATGAAGGAACTTTCTGGAGTAAATGGAATCGTTCTATATCATGATAGTGGTTATGGATACATATCTCTATGCATTTGTCAAAACCTGTAGAACCAGATGCCACATAAAGTGAATTTTACACACACACACACATAGATACACACACACACACACATATATACATAGATATACAGATATATAGATTTTTTTTTTTTTTGAGACCAAGTCTGGCTCTGTCACCCAGGTGTGAGTGCAGTGGCATGATCTTGGCTCACTGCAACCTCCGCCTCCCAGGCTCAAGCGATCCTCCCACCTCAGCCTCCCGAGTAGCTGGGACCACAGACACACACCACCATGCCAAGCTATTTTTTTTTTTTTTTTTGGTAGAAATGGGGTTTCACCATGCTACCCAGCCTGGTCTCAAACTCCTAAGCTCAAGCAATCCACCTACCTCAGCCTCCCAAAGTGCTGAGATTACAGGCATGAGCCACTGTGCCCAGCCTATATATAAATTTTAAATTTTTAAAAAGTTTTAAAGCTGCTAAGTGCTAAAATCTTTCATTCAGTTTGAAAACCAATTAAAATTGTTTACAAGTTTTAAATTGTTCAAGTATTTATGGTTATGGCAAAAAATAGAAAATACTGAAGATTTAGAAAAAGACCATAAGTAAATAAATTATGTACGTCCTACACCAAAACAGTACTATTTTGGATTCTCCTTGATAAACTTTTGTCTATAGAGAGAGTGTGTGTGTGTATGTATAGTCATTAACAATTACTTGTAGGAGAGTCCGGTTGTAAAGGAAACTTAGTTTTATATGTTAAGTGCCACTTTGTCATTAACAGAAGTTTCTGTAAGTGTATATATTGCTTTACCTGTTAGACAAGATATATTCTACCAAGAAGCATCTTCTCCACTTCTTCTGGAATCTCCGCCTAGTTCAGCCCACCTGCCTCCACTCCTGCCTCCACCATGTCCATCAGGGTGCAGAAGTCCTACAAGGTGTCTACCTCTGGCACCCGGTCCTTCTGCAGCTGCTCCTAAACAAGTGGGCCTGGTGTCCGCATCATCTCCTTGAGCTTCTCCCGCGTGGGCAGCAGCAGCTTCCTGGGTGGCCTATGGTGGGGCCAGTGGCATGGGAGGCATCACTGCCGTCCGGGTCAACCAGAGCCTGTTGAGCCCCCTTAACCTGGAGGTGAACCTCAGCATCCAGGCTGTGAGCACCCAGGAGAAGGAGCAGATCAAGACTCTCAACAGTAAGTTTGCCTCCTTTGTCAACAAGGTACGGTTCCTGGAGCAGCAGAACAAGATGCTGAAGACCAAGTGGAGCCTCCTGCAGCAGCAGAAGAAGGCTGGGAGCAACATGGACAACATGTTGGAGAGCTATATCAACAGCCTTAGGCAGCAGCTGGAGACTCTGAGCCAGGAGAAGCTGAAGCTGGAGGCGGAGCTTGGCAACATGCAGGGGCTGGTGGAGGACTTCAAGAAGTATGAGGATGAGATCAATGAGCGTACAGAGATGGAGAATGAATTTGTCCTCATCAAGAAGGATGTGGATGAAGCTTACGTTAACGAGGTAGAGCTGGAGTCTTGCCTGGAAGGGCTGACGAGATCAACTTCCTCAGGCAGCTGTATGAAGAGGAGATCCAGGAGCTGCAGTCCCAGATCTCGGACACGTCTGTGGTACTGTCCACCGACAACAGCTGTTCACCGGACACGGACAGCATCATCACTGAGGTCAAGGTACAATACCAGGAGATGGCCAACAACAGCCGCGCTGAAGCCGAGAGCGTATATCAGATCAAGTATGAGGAGCTGCAGACGCTGGCTGGGATGGACCTGCGTCTTACAAAGGCTGAGATCTCTGAGATGAACCGGAACATCAGCCAGCTCCAGGCTGAGATTGAGGGCCTCAAAGGCCAGAGGACTTCCCTGGAGGTCGCCATCGCAGATGCCGAGCAGCACAGGGAGCTGGCCGTTAAGGATGCTAACGCCAAGCTGTCCGAGTTGGAGGCCGCCCTTCAGCGGGCCAAGCAGGACAGTAGCTGCGTGCGTACTAGGAGCTGATGAACCTCAAGCTGGCCGTGGACATCGAGATCGCCACCTACAGGAAGCTGCTGGAAGATGCACAACATGAGTATCCGTACGAAGACCACCAGCGGCTATGCAGGTAGTGTGAGCTCCGCCTATGGGGGCCTCGCAAGCTCTGGCCTCAGCTACGGCCTGGGCTCCAGCTCTGACTCTGGCGCAGCCTCCAGCTCCTTCAGCCGCACTAGCTCCACCAGGTCTGTGGTTGTGAAGAAGATTGAGACCCGCGATGGGAAGCTGGCGTCCTCTGACTTCCTGCCCAAGTGAACAGCTGCGGCAGCCCCTCCCACCTGCCGCTCCTGCGGCTGCCCCAGAGCCCAGGAGGGAGGCCGCTGTGCAAGGAAGCACAGGGAACAGGAGATTCACCTGAGGAGGCCGCTGTACAAGGAAGCACAGGGAACAGGAGACTCACCTGAGGCTCAGCCCTAGCCCTCAGCCTACCCGCGGGGGAGTTCACTGCCTGGAGACCCCCGCCCCTTGTCCATGCCTCCAGCTACAAAACAATTCAATTGTTTTTTGTTTTGTTTTTTCTGTCCAAAATTAAAACCTCAGCTAGCTCTGCCAAAAAACCAAAAAAAAAAAAAGAAAGAAAGAAAGAAAAGATATATTCTGAAATGAAAACACTTTGACAAAATTGCAATCATTTGACATAAACTGTTTTATTGACTGATTATTTTATAAATTTTATGACATATTAACATCTTTCAACAAGGTCATCTTGGCATAATCCCAGTAGGAGTATTTGGGTTTGGCCATAACCAGACTTCTTTCCTGTCCCCTCCCCAACCCCCTATTTGTGGAAAATATACTCAAATGCACTATTTCCGTTACCAAAACTTAGCAAAATAAACCTTATCAGAGAAAATGGATGCTGACTTTGGACCGTGAACCAGGACCCAAGAAGCAGACTACAGTTTTATATGGAGGGGAGGAACAACTGTAATTCCCATCAGGACGCCTGAGAATCCCGTTTGTTTAATGATCCACAAAGTAGTCATTGCCGGTCTAGCTAGAAGCCTCTGTGCTGGTATGACAAATGATACACATCCTACCTCCCCCACCACCCACCCAGATTCATTACCCATTAATCTTGGCACCCCAGCCTAGAAGTGACCCCGCAAAACCTTCTCAACACAAACCTGGTAACTATGATCATTTCACCATCGTCATTCACTATGAATTATATTTTCCATTCTTGTCTTAGCTGAAGGAGAAAACTACCAAAACCCCATCCAATCATCAGAAATAAAGCCAAGTATTGAGTGGGCAGAACTAGTCAGCTGATGCAAGTAGGGTAAATGACTTTATGATATTATCTACCAAATGTTTCTTAGATGAAAGATAAAACATTTAATGGGCTCCGAAAGCTAAATTGCATTACCCTTTCATTTCCATCTCTATGATTGATGTTGAGAGGTCAATGCTAGTGACCTGGTCAGTAAGATATTCCATCTGTAGACTTTGAGTTTAGATCCTAAGTCTAAACTGAGTCTCCATTTTCTCAAAACAGTCTGTGAGCTGTATATCACCTAATAATATCACCCTGCTATGTGAGCTGTATATTACCTAATAATCCAGGTGCCTGCCTCAACTGAATTCTCTGGCATTGCATAGACTTCAGCCTAGCATGATACTGCAAGAGACTAGGGATGAACTAGGAGATTCCTCTGTTTCTGTAACCCTCACAATCATTAGCCTCACATGAGTATCACTGTTAAATCAATATCTATTATTCAGGTAAATAATACTTTATGTATGAAATTACCAGTCTAGAACTTTTGTAGGATGCTGAGATTGATTTAAAAAAAGCCTTAATAGTGCCTATTGAGCTAGAAATGGGGTTACCAGGCCACCATCTTGTGGAAATTAAATCAGCACAAATAGATGTGGAGCCGGGCAAATTTCACACTACCCAGGGTTTCCTTTAAAAATTGTCTTAACTACATTTGACCTTTCTAGCTGTTTCTGGCTTTTGTTTTTAGTCAATGTGTACTTTATCCACATCTATATAGAACAGAGGAAAAATGCTCATATAGTTTCTTGATCAACAGCATGATTAGGCTGAACATTTAATGAAATGTGGAATTGTCATATAAACTTATAATTTAAAGGTGAAAGCCGTGTTGAACTCGATGAATTGATTTCTGTTGATCATGATTTCAAATGACGTTATTATCTCTAAACTTGCTACCTTACTATTACTACATCCTATTTCCATATCTCAAAATTATTGTGTCTTGAGCAGTATATTTTCCAGTTTAAAATGCCTTACCAAAGAGCATGCTGCAAACAGAAGAGTATTTGTATCAGAAGTTTCCGTATCTTGAAATTGGAATGTAGAGTGATTCATGAGTTTTGCATCAATTATTAAACAGTCATAGATGAAGATATGCAGAGATGGATGGGGCAGTAAAGTATTCCAGTTATACCTACTGGCTTAACAATGACAAATGAGTCAGGAAACATGAAAGTTCAAAACAAGTATTAACCTGAGCTGCCATGGCATATTCTCTGAAGGGAAGTAGACAATAGCATGATATAAACAGGTTCATTTACAGAGCAGCTGGCTAGTAGAATTAAAATAAAGGTAAGGTCTCTGCAAGAGGACTAAGGGATTTCAGAATCCTGCCATGCAAATCACCCTTTCTCTTACAAGGTTCTTGAGGGAGACATAGCATTGAAGAATAATAACACTTGGAAAACAAAGGAAATATTTTTATTACCTGAGACAATGCCTAATATTCCACAATGCAGAATTCTAATAATACTGGCTTAAATCATGTGACTTTGACTTGCACTTGAATCCCACCTTGTTTTGACTTGCATGGACCTTAAAGTGAGAGTAGAGACATTTTCAGAGTCTAGGAAGAAGGAAAATGTATGTGTCATCCCCTGGGAAAGCAAGTGTTGTTGTCCTTGGAGTAGCATCTTCTTGGCAACTGAGCCAAGAGCTCACGTTGGAAAAAGCTACTTAATTCTTTTCTGATACCCAACTTGTCCAAAAGGAAAGGCCCATCTTTAGTTCTCATTGTAAGGCCCTTGCAGCCCACCCAGAACTCTAGTGTTCTGCATTAGTCACTGTCCAGTGAAAGGGCATAGACTGCATGTAAGCAGAACCTTAGAACATAGCTCTAAGACAAGAGCTGAGCATTGTAAACCTCAGGCCTGGTTCCCACCACCCTCTCATTATTTCCTGCTACTCTTTCTTTCTGAGAAATGTGAGTATTTGAGCAGTTCAAGAGCCTTGAACTGGACCAGCCTTTGTACCGGACCAAAGACCAAGGTGAAAAGCAATAGCCATGCCTGCTTTAGGCTCTACCCAAATTGGGAAGCCCCATGAATAACCCTTTGACTTTTCACTCATTGAAAAGTCAGAAGCAGTGGTTAGTGTTAGAAGCATAACTTAGCACTGGTGCTTTCAAGCAGGGCAATCTGAGGCAACTGCAAATGTTAAGTAGATGCCTTCTGTCCTCTAAACATGGGAGTGGTTTGCTAAGATGGGCAAACTATAACAAAGGAAAGTGGTCAAATAACTCACTTGAGGTGTCTGACTTTCTCACTGGCTGGACTTTCTTTCTTCTCAATTCATGGGCATTGGTTACATAAATGGACCTTCTAAACTTACATCTGGAACTTAGTAACCATATTGCTTATTTTGTGTTTCCTTAAGGGTAGCATTCACTGGAGGAGCCTTCTTGAGAAAATGAACTAGATTTCTAGTTAAGAGCATCAGTATTGGAATGAGATAGCCTATTCCAAATGAAGACTCTGTACACTAGAAGTCATAAACTGATAACCCACAAATCATATGCAGCCCACAGATATGATTATTTTTTCATTCTCATGGCATTGAAAAAAATACTTGCCAATGTATAAACTTTAAGAGATTTTTGCATAAAAGTCTTCATTTCCAGCTTCCTATATATACTTAAAAAATCAAAACATCAGGCAATACATGGCAATACAGGCAATCATGGCCCCAATCAGCTTAAGCTAAATAGCCACTTGTCCCTTTAAAGGAGACATACGTGGTCTTTCTAGTTCACTTGTGTTACTTTGTGGCCCTGTAGGGCTTTGAATTTGCTATCTATGAGATCAATCATCTAAGAAGTCAAAACAAGAAATCAAGAATTGTTCTTTTAAATGTGTCTAGCTTGAAAGTGACCAAGGTTTATACCTTATTTTTGTTAACTTCTGCACAATGAATAACCATAAGGAGCCTTTTCATACATGGAAAAGAACAGTTATATGTGAAGTGGAGAATTTTACACTACTTACCTGAACAAATCAGGCATACAAAGAAAATCCTGAAATGATGATATAAGAGTAAGATTTGAGATCAGAATTACTCAGGGGTAATTGCCTTAGTTTTCCACCTCACTGTTTCCCCTTTGCTTTCCTTACATAGACATTACCTTCAGAATGTTCCTGTCAAAGGCCATAGTCATAATTCCCCCTCCTCTTTTTTTTTTTTTTTTTTTTTTTGTATAACTCATTTGCACTCTTGGTAGCAATTGTTGGAGCCCTGCAGGGGAATAATTGTGGGGGAATTAACCTCTGACATTTTTCTAAAAATAGCCCTAATAAATCCAATCATAGGTAATTTACCTGTCCATGTTCCTCCAGGGGTAACCAGCATGGAAGAAAGACTTGGCAGGCTGGCATTCCGTCAGCAATTATCTGTGATCTGAGTTCCTGGTGCCTGTGCATTTTCTCTGATTAGAAGTACAGAGTACAAATTGCCCTCACTTATCTGCCCCTGTGACCTTGTTTTCTCAGCACCCTTCTCCTGGGGTTGAAATAAGGCATGCTCTTCCAAAGGATGCATTGGGCTCATAAAAAAAGAAGGGGCACGGGCCAAGCTGGAGCATTCGTCAGTTCCTTCCTTGAATTATTGACTGGCAGAGTTTTCCCAATTATTTCTTTGTGCTCTGTTCCTCCATTTTCCATGACTGAGCTTCAAGCGTCCTAACCCTGCTTCATCAGAGCCCCCAGGACTGATTTGAATAGCCACAACTGAAGCCTGTGTGGGGAAGATTCTTGGTGTAAAGGCCATGGGTGCATGAAGGGTGTGTGGTTGGTAGAAATCATCAAAGAAAATCACCATTTCCTTCAGCCATCATGAAGTTAATTTTCTCTTACTTAAAAAAGGGTCTAAATGTGCTTTTCCCTTTTATTCTCTCCAGATGTTCCAGGAGACCACAGGTCAGTGTGGGCATCTAGGAAATTTACTTCCCAAGTGCCACTTCTGGTGGCATTTAAAAACCCAGAACATAATATCCTTGTAAATTCCACTGCAGAGACAAAGCCCTAAGCCCTTAAATGCACAGAAAAGTATGTCTATTATCTATCCTTTCAAAGTAAGTGTGCAGTTACTTAAATTGCCTTTGTCTTCTTCTTTGCAGCTGACATTATCTCTACGGTAGAATTCAACCACACGGGAGAATTACTAGCGACAGGGGACAAGGGGGGTCGGGTTGTAATATTTCAACGAGAGCAGGAGGTAAGTGGTGGTGAATGCAAAATGCCCATTTTCTTCTCTTTTTAAAGGAGGCCTCCTACTGTTCTTTAATCCTTATGTGTCGCCCTTAACCTTGCTGCTTTGCTCGAAAACTAAAAACTGCCAAAAAGTCATTAACATCAAGAATTCTACATTCAGACTCATAAAAGCCCTGTAAAAGAGAGCCTTTTCTGGGCATGGCCTTATCTTTCTAAGTCTGGATGTTACACCTTCAAAACAACTTCACTGCTAGCCTGACCTGCAACATTCCATGGGTGCTTGTTGAGCATAACTCCTCCATTTTCAGTGGGATCTGTCATAGAGCCATTGAAATTCAGTCTCCCTTGATTTCAGGTGCTGCCAGAATATGTAGGAGGAAAAAAAAAAAACCATGGTTTATTTGCCAACAGATGTGAAGAGGACAACTTGGGACAGGAGAGAAGAAAATGATAGCTCGCCTCACCAAAGGGATTAAAGGCCACAAACTGGCATCTGAGTAAAGCATATGACACACATCACGGTATCACTGTAGGTGACACAGAGGCTCCTGAAGCTCAGTGCTACATATACGACCATTTCTGAGCAGGAGTTCTAACTTCCAGTGACTCTCATAAACCCATTTCTTCCTGAGACACGGGTTCCACTAGGAATTGTTTCTCTTTTTCATATAAATTGAGTTTTTTGGTGTCTGCTTCTGTTTGTCAGAATGGAATTATGGCCCAATTTGATTTCCTTGGCCTCCCCTGGCATGGTCTTGGAGCTTCCAGCAGGCCAGTCTGTGTTCTAGTAACTCTCCCATCTGCCACTGCCTGCCTCTGAGATTCACTGGGCACTCAGGAAGCGTGAGGGAGGCCCAGTGTGAGAGGAAGGTTTCACAAGAGACTTCCCTAGCAATTTAAAGCCTGCTTTGTGCCTCAAAGCCATTTGCGTTACACCTCCCCTCAAAAAAGGAAAGCCTCATTTAGAGGTGATATATTTGGTAATTGCACATTATTTGCAATTAATTTCTATAAGGGCATCGTAATCCCTCGGGGTTCCGTATAAATTCAAGTGTTCAGCATTAAATCAGGCAACCAGCCTATTCCATTGGCCCTGGAAACACGAAAATGTGGTTGGCAAGTAGAAACTAATAGCTCTTCGTGACCTGGAATTTTTCCTGCTTTTCCAGAGCTGCCTAGTGCTAATTGGTCTGGCACATACTACACACACTTGACAGTCTGATTTGGATGGTAGCAAATCAACACTCTTATAAATGTATTGTTAAGGTGGACTGGCTCTCTCTGCAAATGAGCAGGATAGTACCAAGTATGTCAGCATTTAAAGTCTTTTGAACACTGATTTTCAAACCTCCTTTTCCAGCTTTTTCTTTAAAAAAAAAAAAACCCAATTAGGTTCGCAGTGATGATAAAGAGGAACCGGAGGAGCTATTTAGCATAAATTACCCAAGGCAGCATGTTGCCAGTAATATTCTGCTCTACATTTTCTGTTAGCTATTTATAGGTTTCACCTATTTTAATTTAGTGAAATATTTGGGAAGCCTGATTCATTAGTGGAATGATGGGGGACACATTTTCTAAAGCAGGGTAGTTTTGTTCAATAAAAAAATAAATGTCAATGAGGATAAAGAACCTGCAATTAAGCATTAAGCTTTGTGGCCAGTCTTGGGATTAAAATGAGCACTAAATCTGAGAAACAAACCCATGTGACGTCATCTAGGACAGACCTGCTTTTGACTTCAGTGGGTGAACTCCAGGAGTGAATTCTTAGGAGGCACACAACCAGAGAGTCCGCACAAATACATTTCACACCCAGGGTTCAGCACTCTCGCTGGTCAGTAAGTTGAGATTTGGGTTTGGATATTTTATATCCACCTAGAAATACACAGTTGGAAATTAACCCTTTTATTAAGAGTCAAACTTCTATAACAAACGTTTAATAAGACTCATATTTGAATTTTTGAGTTTTTCAAAGCCTGCATCTCGAAGCTCTTGGTAATAAGGACCTAAAATACCTGAAATAAAACTTCCCTTTCCGCTTTCCTCTTCTTCTCCTTCTTTCTTTCACATCCTGTTTTTTCTCTTCTCTTCCTTTTTTTTCTTTTTCTTCCCGTTTCTGCAGACCCTTGCCCTTGTGTTTAATTCTCTCATGTATGTAGTCCCTGCTGTTTGCTCATTGCATAATCAGTGCTAGAGGAAAGCCAAGAGGTAAAATCTCATCATTCCTTAATGATGCAGGTAGCATCCCTGAGCTCCTGTCTGCTTTGTCACTCATGTTGGAAAGAAAAACAGAAAAAAGTAGCAGGGGCATATCTGATGCCCAAATCTGCTCCTTATGAGCTGTGAGACCTAGGGGAAGTCATTTAATATCTGAGCCTCTTTTGTCCATTTCCTTGCCCCGCCTACCTCAGAGATTTCATGAGAATCAGATGAGATCTTACAAGGCCAATGAAAGTCACAGATGCTACAACTTTGTAGTCTCTTTAAGGGCTCGATGTAAGTATTTACGAATGCCACTGTGGGATGGCTCACTCTGATGGGTGAGTGCACCATCTGTTAGGATGCAAAAAGAAAATATTAGAACTTCTATTTATATTGATTTTAAAATTTTGTTCTATTTTAATATATTTCTATGTATGCATTTATATATACTATATGATAGTACAGAAGTTCATGTGTATAATTATATTTTTTTTTCAGAGGTGCTAGTGGCCCTGCCCTCATCCCACCCCCAATGACTGCTAGAAAAAAGAGAGGGTTGGCGAGTTTTACAGTTGGCTACTATGATTTAATCGTTTGTGTATTTTTTTCCTTTCCTACAGAGTAAAAATCAGGTTCATCGTAGGGGTGAATACAATGTTTACAGCACATTCCAGAGCCATGAACCCGAGTTCGATTACCTGAAGAGTTTAGAAATAGAAGAAAAAATCAATAAAATAAGATGGCTCCCCCAGCAGAATGCAGCTTACTTTCTTCTGTCTACTAATGGTAGGTGGAAGTGATTTTTCCTGTTTGGTATTTTCAGTGATACAGTCGGCCAAACTATATATTTCAATCTCTCTTAACCTCAATTTTCCTTTGAACCGTGTGGGCTGTTGAAAAACTTAGAAATAACATTTGCAAGATGCTTAGCACAGTGCCTGGCACACCCAGATTAGGCCCTCACTAAATAGTAACTATTGTTTTTTAAAATATTAAATTTATGACCCAATTATGTGAGACCCATTATCTGCAGTTTGCAACTATTGCAGATGATTTGCAGGTGTTTTTGGAATGTGACTTCCTGTCTTAAGATTCACTGAATGTTATTCTGGGAATACATTTCAGGCAACTCAACATGTTGTCTCTGTGAGGTTGGCATATTGAATAGAAGTTATTAATCCCTGAATATATTTTAGGGTCTGCAAAGCAGATGGCTGTGTGTCTCTCTGACAAAAATTAAGTTCTAAGATAGGAGCACAAGGCAAGAAGAGATAGGGACTTTATCAAAAAAAAAAAATCAAGAAAGGGTTTCTTTCCCTATCTCCCTCCATACTTAACACCATTTGTTGGATGAAGAGGAGTTGACATAAATAGGTCAGAGAGAGAGGATGTTGGGTATTGAATAGAGAGACAAATTACATAATCACTGGGTAAGTCTTCATACAGTGGAATTACCTAACCTCCAGGTTCTTAAATCCTTGCTAAAAGAAACCACCTAAGCTCAAAACAACTTGGCATAAAGTCACATGTTAAAGGGTGCTAACTGAATAGCATAACAATTAAAAGGATTCATATTTAAAAATTAAACACCCTCTCCCAAGAACATGAGTTGGAGAATGATTCATTTTATCTCACATGTGAATCTATGAGGAATATACATTTTAATTTAAATCGAGAAGCAAGAAGCAAGGGATTTAAAAAGAAAGGGAAATGTTCATATTTCAAGTGAAAAAATAAAATGTCAATAATGTGATCAAACATACATGAATATTTTTAAAGACTGGAAGGAAATACGACATAAGGTTCATCATGATTAATTTTTGTGCAGTATGGGTAACTTGCCAATTTGTTCCTTTTGTCATTTTAATTTGTAAAGTTTTTACAATGAGTCTCATATTAATGTCATGGAAAAAAGGGGGAAGTTATTTAATGCATTGAACGCCAAATCTCTCAAATATAAAGCCAGCATAGAAGTCTAAAAAATTACAATTCGGATGCAACTGGTTTAGGGTTATCCAAGCATATCTCATCTCCTCATGACCAGATCTCTACTCATCTGTTTTTCCAGACTCCAGGTAGTTTGATTCTTTCTCATAACTGTATTTATTGTTCTGTTTACGTTTTGCAATCCTGATTTCTTGGAAGCCAAACCACATAAATTTGTTTCAATTTCTTTCCTTTTACTTTTGCTATTTAAGTTTCACTAACAGGCTTTGCAGATTCAACACTACTCGGAATAAAAGAGACTTATGATGATTTTGACTTACTTCAAGCAGAGGAAAAATGTCTGATTGTCTTCTATAGCTAACTTACTTTATATGATCAAATTTAGCCTATTGATTATTGCATTTAAAACTCAAGGACTTGGCCAGGCGCGGTGGCTCATGCCTGTAATCCCAGCACTTTGGGAGGCCGAGGTGGGCGGATCACGAGATCAGGAGATCGAGGCCATCCTGGCTAACACGGTGAAACCCCATCCCTACTAAAAAAACAAACAAACAAAAAAATTAGCCTGGTGTGGTGGCGGGCACCTGTAGTACCAGCTACTCGGGAAGCTGAGGCAGGAGAATGGCGTGAATCCAGGAGGCAGGGCTTGAAGTCAGCCAAGATCACTCCACTGCCCTCCAGCCTGGGCGACAGAGCAAGACTCCATCTCAAAAAAAAAAAAAACCTCAAGGACTTATTAACTACTTTGTTGGGGAGGATGGGAAAAAAATCAGTGAAATGCAATGAAGATTAATTATATAGCATAATATTCTGTTAATAGAGTTTTTAAATAGTTTTTTGATTAACAAGGATATTATCTTCCCATTTGGGATACTGTTTCATATGCCAACAGCATCTCAAAATGATTCTTCTAGGAAAAATTCCCATGTTCTTATGTAATTTTCTTTTTTATACTAATATTGAGGTTGAGAATCCCCCTTAGGCCAAATAGGTTAACATGCAAAAATTAATGGAAGACAATTGGAATTACTATATAAAAGAGAAAATGAAGATAGATGATAAGATTGTGTTTAAAAGCTGCCACAAGTGATGATAAACTACCCAGAGAACCCGCAAGAAGAAAGAAAAAGTCATTACTCATATTAACAGTCACATGTTCCTTAGACTTTTTTATTCACAAAGCTTCAAGACACTGAGTCAAGAAAAATAGTGTGATAATAAAGTCAAGAATGACTCCAGGCAACCCAACCATGGGGAATTGCATTGAATTCACCTTCAATTATCTCTAAGAAAATATACTGCTTATCTTATTATAGTTAGGAACAATTTTACTTTCTGCTAGAATATATTTTCAACTTTACAATTTCAATAAAAAATAAAACCAATTCAATTGTGAATCTAGACCCTCAAATTATTTACCACATAAAAACACATTGTTTTATCTCATTTTCTACTTTAATACCTATAATGAGAGGGGGGATACACTGAATTTGTTTTTCTCACTATGACACTAGTACATGTTCATTGTAAAAAAAAAAAAAAAATACAGAAAAACAAAAATAATAAAAGTGTTCCCATCCAGAGAGAACAACTGTTAAGTCTTTTAAAGAAAAAAGCAAAAAGACATGAATAAATCTGTTTGTTTCTTAACAGAAATATGATATATTCTGCAAACTCTTTTGTAACCAGGTTTTTATTAATATAACACTTAATAACAGGAATATCTTCCCAATTGTTAGTCTAAAATACCATAATGACCACATAGTATTTCCTTACATGATTCTTTTGTAGTTTACTAGTAAGCCTCCTACTATTAGTCCTTTAGCTGTTAACAAATTCTCACTATTATAAATCATATATACTATGTTATAGTATACATAATACATTCTATCCCTATAAGTATATTTGCAGGGATAGATGTTGGTATAGATAAATATGATTAGGCAAATGCATACTATAAACTAAGTATGTCATATTAAGTTTACTAAAAACAGTTACATAATTGTATACATAAATATAAAAAAACACAAAATTTGTGTAATAGATATCTCTACTGGAATTAAGGGAGTTTTTTTTTACCTTTATTATTATTTTATTTTATTTTTCCCCCACCCCTCCTCCAATATGATTACTTGAATAACCATTCCATGTACCACTTGTATAACAAAAAGAAGGAAATAAAATGAGAAAATACAAAATCTGTATGGCAATATTATAGATTTGGATTCTACCCCCAAAGTACATAGAAAAAGTACTATAAGGATTTATGAAAAATGTTAATGATGATCGTCCCTGACTGAGAAGTTGTTGGTGATTTTTATTCTTTACGTTATACGCATGATTTCTCTGTTTCTCTGTATAGCAATTTATCATTCATGATAAGAAAAATATACAATGTTAACTTTGCAAAGGGGATAGGATACATTCCAAATCCACGCAACAAAAAAAAATTTGCTATTAAAATTGTGGGGATGTTCTAAGCCATAGCTGATCAAGAGCTAGTCACGTGACTGTATAAATATGGCCCATGTTCATTTTCTCACCCTAAAAAGCAGTTCGGTATGCAGCAGGATCTCCTTTTGCTCCTGCACAAGCCAGGGTGACTGCACAATTCAGAGCGCACAAATCATACACTTAGCAGCCTTGCCAGTGTGTCAGACATGAGCAGCCCAAGTGATGCCCAGATACAAGAAAATGGGGCACTTATTTGCTGCTGAAAGCCCACTTCACAATGTGGTGCATTAAGACCTCCAAGAACAAGGCATTTGTTTCTGGCAGCTTCAAGGCGAATGGTACTGTGATCCACATCTCCTACTTAGAAGATCTGTCCTCCCAAAGGCATGAGAATTGGGAGGTGGTGGTGAAAAGTCAGGTGAGGAGAAGTGGAGGAATGAAGCAAGGGGCAAAAGAGGAAGGAATTCCCAGAGGGACGGCTTTTCTTCCCCAACAGTGTTACAGAGAAGAAATAGGATGTGCTGACATCGTCGAGGGATGAAGCTAAAGCTGTCAGAGCAACATGTTATTATGGCAGAATAGTTGCCCAATTTGCTAATTCTAATAAAAGCTGTCATTTGTGGACCATTATTAGAAGCCTAATACTGTGTTAAACACTCTCCATGCTGTGATTTATTTAATCCTCATCAGAGCCCCATCAGGAAGATACTGTTTCCCCAATTTACAAATAAAGAAACTGAGGCACCATCTTTCTTTGTAAGATTGAACTCTGAGGGATATACTCATACTAATTTTTCTTTTTTTTTTTTTTTTTTTTTTTTTTTTGCTTATCTGAAATTCAAACTTAACTGGGTGTTCTGTACTTTTTTACTTGCTAAATCTGGCAATCCTATTTGTTGCTTAAGAAATACTAGTTATGGTTGGGTGTGGTGGCTCATGCCTGTAATCCTAGCACTTTGGGAGGCAAAGGTGGGCAGATTGCTTGAGCCTGGGAGTTTGAGATCAGCCTAGGCAACACGACAAAATGACGTCTCTATAAAAAATACAAAAATTCGCTGGGCGTATTGACATGCGACTGTGGTCCTAGCTACTCTGGAGGCTGAGATGAGAGAATCACCTGAGCCCAGGAAGTCGACACTGCAGTGAGCCATGATCACACCACTGCACTCCAGCCTAGGCGACAGAGACCCTATCTCAATTAAAAATAAAAGAAGAAGAGAGGAAGGGAAGAAAAGGGAGAGGAAGGGAGGGAGGAAGGGAAGGAAGAAGGGAAGGAAGGAATGAAAGAAGGAAGGAAGGAAGGAAAGAAAGAAGGAAGGAAAAAAGGGAGGAAGGGAAGGAAGGAAGGAGGGAGGGAAGGGAGGAAGGGAGGAAGGGTTATGTACCCACTGCCTGGGAATCCCCGTCCTTGGTCATGTGACTGGCATCAGAATGGGGATTGGGCCCAAGGTTGTCTAATTCCAAACCCTACCTTGTGCAGGACAGAGGAAGATACAAATAAGGCAACCAAGTTTCTGCCTTCAAAAAGATATGTTATAACAAGTATAAAAAAATGTACACTGGATCTGATAAGGAAAGCCCACTAAGGCATGTGGCCGGCAGACATGATTTGTTTGCCTGATCTTGTCTCCTTAAATAATTGAATTAGGCCAGGCGCGGTGGCTCACGCCTGTAATCCCAGCACTTTGGGAGGCCAAGGCGGGTGGATCACGATGTCAGGAGATCAAGACCATCCTGACTAACATGGTGAAGCCCCGTTTCTACTGAAAATACAAAACAATTAGCCGGGCATGGTGGCGGGCAACTGTAGTCCCAGCTACTTGGGAGGCTAAGGCAGGAGAATGTCATGAACCCGGGAGGCGGAGCTTGCAGTGAGCTGAGATCGCACCACTGCACTCCAGCCTAGGTGAAAATGAGAGACTCCGTCTAAAAAAAAAATTAATTAATTAATTAATTAAAAGCCTGCATGTAGGGCATGCCATTCCAGCTCCACAGATCCTTTAGCCCTTTTTACTCATTTCCTTGGCCTGCATGACACGTGTAGGGAAGGGAGTTCTCATGGAAGTTCTGTAGGGATAGGAGTTCTCTGTTTCAATGCTATGGAGAATGACAGGTGTCATCAAGTTGTGTAAAGTGCTGGGGCAGTACAAAGCTGAGAAAGGTAGTTTCCAGCTGGAGACTCCATAGAGGCAGCAAAAGGAAAGGAGCATTTCAATGTATCTCCTTACCATTTTATTTTCCTGAATATTGATAGAAACATGCACTATGTAGGTAGATAAGATTTGTTCATTTGCCCTACTAATGTTTGTTGAGCAGCTACTATGTGCCAGGCACTGTTCTGGGTGCTGGTGGTACAGTGATGAACAAGGGAGATAGAATCCCTACCTTCAACAATTTTACACTCTAGTGAGACAAGACAGATAGTTATTTGATAAATAATCAACAGATTGTCAGGTAGTAAAAAGTATTATGAAGAAAAATAAAGCAGCAGAGAGGAGATAGAGACTGGTTCTGAGGACAGCATTTTTAGGTAGGTTTTACATAAGCCTCTCTAAGGTTGGGATGCAAATGCAAGAGAAAAGTAAAGAAGCGAATTACATGAAAAAGAGGGTAAAGGGCTTTCCTGGCAGAAGACACAGCAAGTGCAAAGGCCCCAAGGCTTAGTAAGCTGAGCGTGTACCTGGAGCTGTAGGGAAGCCACGTGGCAGGAGCCCAGTGAGTGAGCAGGGAGAGGGTGGACAGGGAGGTCAGAAAGGTGGAGAAAGTGGAGAGGGCAGGTCATGAAGGGCCTTTTAGGACATGGTAAGGACGATGTGTCAGTGAGGTGAGATGCTAAAATAGAGATAATGGCACCTACTTCCAGAGTTATGACTGTTAAACAACTTTTTCATGTAAAATTCTTAGTTACATCGTAAGCTCTGTGTATGTCGCTACTCTTGTTATTCAATGTTCAATAAATGCTTTTATGGAATGAGCTAAATTAAGGTATACGCTATAGATTTAAGAGCCCATTGTCAGGGAAATCCATTTGTCCCAGCATAATGTATGTTTTTGTTTTGAAATATGAGCTCTGCCTTCAAATGACAAGGGATTTATGCACGGCAACCCTTTACGTGAGCCAGCTTCTGTAGCAATTCTCTCCAACCTTACCTCTTCCTCTCCCCACTACCCCCAGGAAAACTCCCTTATGAGCTTGCTTTTCACTATAATTCTGACTTAATCTGGTTGCCCACTGCAGATAAAACTGTGAAGCTGTGGAAAGTCAGCGAGCGTGATAAGAGGCCAGAAGGCTACAATCTGAAAGATGAGGAGGGTCGGCTCCGAGATCCTGCCACCATCACAACCCTGAGGGTGAGTGCACACGGTTGCCCTGGCCACCACGGTCAGGGGCAGGTCTCCTAAGGTTGGCCACATGCTGGTTGTTACTGTGGGTTGCAACTATAATGGGCCAGTGAGGGAACGTAGGCAGAGACTCAGCCTACCCCAGTCTCTCTGGTGGCAGATGGAGAAGCAGGAAAGGTGCCAAGCCTTCTAATGACGACAAATCCATGCTTTTCCTTTTGTCCCAGAAGACTTGCCCACATGGCCACTGCCAGACGTTACTATAATCTTAGCCTCTGTTGTTCACATTATCTAAAATGTCTTGAGCACCTTCTGTACTCAAGGTACAGGGATGAGAACCCAGATGACGAGTTGCAGTCTTGCGATTCAGAACACAAACTTAATAATCTAACAGACCTGGCTTCAAATTCTGCCACTTACCCAAATTTCTCAATAGTCACTTAACCTTTTTGAGCTTTCACCATGCAAGTTAATTTTAGTTTCTCCATCTGCAAAATGGTGAGCACAGTACTTACTGCTCGTGGACTTATGAGGAAGAAATGCAAGAAGGATGGAAAACCCTTCCTCTATGGCTGGTCCTCAATATATGATCTCTACTCTTAGTCTGAGAGGCTTCCTTCCTGTTCTTCAGAAATACATAGTCTGATAAAGAGGAGTTGTAAGACTAATATACAAATGATTATGGCACTAAGTATAGTAAGATAAATTCATTGAGAGAGTGTTGGAGAGTTGTAGTTTGATCAAAGGAGGAAGAAATTATCTGTGGTTGTTGGAGACCAGAAAAGTTCAAATAGGAAAGTGGCATTAAAAACAGATTTCTCAAAGGGAATTTTTAAGGGAAGGGTCTCTAGATGTAAGGTAAAGTGGGTTAGGACTGGATGATGAGCTCAGTTATGAACACGTTCAATGTGAGCAGTAAAGCAGGCACATGTTAGGATAGCCCTAGCCCCAATGGACTTGTAAAACTGTGTAAAATATGTGATTTCAGACACCAGCAACTCTGCTAAAGACCAAAAGCAAGAAGGGAGACAGTGAAGCAGATGTGAGGAAAAGAGGTTCTTGTCCTATGTTTGAAAGTCAAAATGAGATGGTCATTGTATGCTTGATTAGCTCACTTGTTTTTTTGTTTAATAATTCATTTATTCATACATCTGCTTATTCAGCAGTTACTTTTTGAATATAGACTCTCTGCTGACCACCGTGCTAGGCTATTAGGTGTTTACCCTGTACTAATAGGTACATGGTCTTCAGTTGAGCTGCTTCTGAGCTCACAAGCATTGGTGACTCTCTTTCCTCTCATCAGCCTATGCCTTCAACTCTGAAGAACCTCCATTCAAGTCCACTTTATCAGACTGGGTGGACTTGGCATAAACCCAACCTTGATGCTCTGAATGTGCAGGGGTTTTGGAGGCTGGAAAGTAGAGTAGTGAAGAGTATTATTGTTGAGTCAGTCCAGTCTGGTTTAGAATTCTGGCTCCATTACTTTCCAATAGTGACCTTGGGCATATTACAGTCATGTATCATTTAATGATGGGAATATATTCTGAGAAATGCATTGTTGGGTGACTTCACTGTTGTGAAAACATCACAGAGTATGCTTATGCAAACCTAGATGGTATAGCTTACTACAGACCTAGACTACATTGTATAGCCTGTTGCTCCTCAGCTACAAACCTGTACACATGTTCCTGTGTTGAATACTGCAAGCAATTATAACACAATGGTATTTGTGTATATAAACATATCTAAACATGGAAAAGGCACAATACAAATACGGTATTATAATCTTATGGAACCAATGTTATTGACCAAAACATCATGTGGCACGTGGCTATATTTGAACACCTTGTGCCTCCAAAGTCTCATCTGTATAACAGGGATGATGATAGTCACTGCTTCCTGGAATTGTTGTGAGGATTCAATAAGTTATTTTGTGTAAGAAAGAGCTTAACCTGTGTAGTGCTGGCTCACAAAAAGCACTCAATAATGTTAGTTTCCTGCTGTTATTTTAGTATTAATAACATCATCATCACTATGGCTATTACTACCCCCTACTGATAGTGGGCTTATTAATATGAGACAATTCAGTTGTTTTTCTTTTTATAGTTTTTATACTGCTGTATTTATTCTACAAACTACTCACCAATATTTACTAAGTGGCAAACACCGTACTGGCAATATAGCAGGAATAAGACTGTCTTTTGCCCCTTGAGACATGGTAATCTTATGGGGAAAACAACTGGATTAAGTGCCACTTAGAGCTTATACCAAGAACTTAACGCCCAGACTTTACCTTGCCCTTATTTGCTATGTGGATGGAATTTCTCAGATGCCATCTGTAAACCCCACTGTGGAATCCTACTGTCCATGGCATCCTATGGGATTTCATATATCTGTGCTTAACCCTGGGAGAATTCCATCCCTATGATAAAAAGCAGAGAAGGCCTATTCAGTTTCCACGAGAGCAGAGATCCTCCCCATGCCAAGCCAGTGATGCCAATGAAGTGGACTTCAGATGAAACAGAGAAAGAGGCCCTGAGGTGTGGCTGGGAGTTGGAAAATTCCAGCTCTGGTTCTCGCTTTCTTACTAACCAGCTGTGTAAACTAACTGATGAATCATCCTTCTTCCCTCTAAGCTTAGTTTCTAAGTTGCCAAGCAGAGGACCAGGAAATGCAGATTCCCGAGACCCATTCCAGAGAGGAGGTCCAAAGGAATCTGCATTTTCAACACTTGCCCCTGGTGGCTGAGACAAGGGGGGTCTGCTGTCACTGGACTCCAGCATCCCTAAGACACATTCGAGCTATCATTTTTATGAACCTTTGTTATTTTTCAATTATTTGAGAATTGAAAATTCTCAAATAATCTAGAGAGACATGTTATATTTGCTATATGATTATAAATATCAGTATCTGTATTTACCTCCTCTCCTTTCCTAGGTTCTCAAATATCCTGCATTTCAGTGTAAACATCCACACCACAGCACTCTTTAAACACTGAAAAGTCCAGCTTCCTTTTATTTTTGATCCCAGTGGTAGAAGAAAAAAAAAAGCAGGCAACCCTGAAGACTAGATTCAGAACAATGACTCCAAACAGAGAATGAGCTGACGTGATATTAATCAGACTATAATTTACCTCTTGAAATATGCATTGCCAGCAATTGTGTCTTTTTTTCCCTTCCCTGTACTATGATTACTTCTTGCTCACTTTCATAGTTTCCAGTTCTATGTGGGTATTGAGAGTGAGAACATTTAATAATGCCCGACAGCTAATTAATCCTCACTGTGTAATGTGCCTGTTCTGTTTCAGTGCTGAGAGACTCAGCTTTTCAAAGCAAGAATGTGACTGTATCTTTCATGTAAGACAGCCTTTCAAAATCAATCTCGTTACCAAAAGAGCCTATGAGAAGCATGTCTATGAAAACTATATCCCCTGCTCAATATCATAACATAAAGCAATAATCATGGTGATAATTTAATAATAACACCTTACAGTTGTAAAGTACCATTTATATTGCAAAGCATTTTCTTACCTAGTCCCTTGATTCATCTTCAGAATAGCCAGTGAGGAGGGCAGGATAGGTATTTAGCAGGTGAAATGCTGGTCTGCAGCATTTATTGATCATTTGTCATATCCCATGCACCATGCTGCACTCTATATCTGCATTAGCTATCTCAAAGGGTGTTAAAAAGCTCATTTAACAGATGAGGCTCCAAACAGTTAAGTAGCATACCCAAGATCATGCAGGGCTGAGAACCAAGCCTTAATCTACTTTGGTCTGGGATCTGAGCCCTTCAGTCCGATGCAGCCTCAGAGAGGGAAAATGACTTACCCAGTATCCCTCAACTGGTTATTCCAGGACTGGGACTAAAAATCAAGAGTTAGGGCTCTTAGACATATACAATTGGGCATTTGAAATGTTTGTCTTAATAATTAGTGCCATTATTATTCCAGGTCAGGGGATCAATCGATTGATATCTATCTATCTATCTCTCTCTCCCTCCCTCCCTCCCTCCCTTCCTCTCCTTCTCTTCCTCTCCCTCCCTCCCACCATGACTCCCCCCTACCACTGTCCCCTCCCCCCACCACACACACATACACACACTTACACATTGGCTTTCCAGATCTCTGACCTCAGCAGTGGAGAAACAAAGGGCTTGAGGTCTCTATGCAGTTTTACTTCACAAGACCCTCCATGCCATTCTTCCCCAATCTCCCACTGCCCAGGAGTAACAGACCCTCAGAGCTCTTTCTAGGTAATGGGAACTCACCATTAAAGTGACTTAATCAGCCTGAAATGGAAGTTGGGTGGTGAGAAATCACACTTAGCATACTTCTCCCTGTAGGATGAGACTGCAGGTATTATTTTTCTCATTATTATCAGCTGCCAGTGCCCTGGGAACCTAGGCCAGGTTGAAATAGTCATTTTTACCTATTATAAATATAGAGTCTAGAAGTTATGAGCTCCCAAGCTGTGACTTGTCATAACCTTCCCAAAATGAAGGTGATGTGATGAATTCAATTTTTCTAATGAATTTTATTCAAACATGATTTACGTCAAATAAAAATAATTATAGCCACCATCTGTTGAGTGCTTCCTATGTGCCAGGTGCTAGATTTTATATCCTTAATATCACATAGTCCTCATTATACCTCTCTTGGGTAGGTTCTATTATTCTCTCCAGATCATCTGAAGCCATAGCCTACTCTGCGTTTCAGTATCTGCTCAAGTACTACCTAACAGGCCCTCCTAGGGTATCCCTATGGAAAAGAGCACGTACACATTTTCCATTCATTCTCTCTGCCCTTTTTTGCTTAGCTCTTGTCACTGTCTAGCATTTTCTTCGCTGTCTGCCTCTTCTCCACCCCCAGTAAAATGTAAGCTCCATGAAAGCGGGGACTCTGTTTTGTTCTCTCCTGCAGCTCCGGCACCTGGAACAATCCATGGCACATGGTAGGCATTCAGTAAATATCTGTCAAGTGAACAGATTACACAGAAATGGAAACCAAG